CTTAGATGAAGAAATAATTTGCTGTTGTAAAAATAATAGAAGATAACCTGAATGGTAGGTCTTTTAAAATGGCAATGAATTGAGGTGAGTTTTTTTTATTAGAAAATGTGGGAAAGTGGAGAATAGGCATGAAGAAGGTTGATCTGAAGAAGAGTAGAGAATAGAAAGGGTGCAAATATAGTAGTAAGGGTGAGCAGAAAAAGAGGCGAGTCAGTTAAATGTAGAAGTAGGAAAGTTGAAGTTGTTCGGGTAAAAAATAAATAAATAAAGATGGGAGAAATTCAAGGTGAAGTTAAAACCCAGAAAGTTTGGACATATCAAGCTAGACTTTCAAAGGTATTGATTTAAAGTACATTTAAGGAAATAGCAAGAAAGTAGAAGTTTTCTAGAAACTTGAAGTAGAGGATGAGGAAGAGTTTGCAAGTAGTATAGTTGTACATATTATTGAACTCTTAAACTGTGGTATTAATAAATTGTTTTATTGACACTTGGCATTACTGTGATTTTGAGTTGAACCTATTGGGTGCACATAAAGAGAAGTGTGGCTGTAAATTGTGTGAAACAGGGTGAAATAATAAAAAAATGTAGAAATCATCAGAATACCATTTTTGACTATTTATGGAAAAAATGAAGGGAAGATCTGTTGAAAGCTATGGGGAGTTTAGCAGCAAAATTAGACATCCAGGGTTTCTGTGAAAATAAAATTGAAAGTTTACACACATATCTGACTTCAAATTAGAATAAATCACCACATATTGTTTAGTTTTACAGTAGGAATAAAAAGAAATTTGAGTTTTAAACAGAGAATATGGGTTACAAGTAAAGATATACTGAGACATGTAGGTAATGGAACTTTTAACATAAATTAAAATCTTTGAGAAAAAAAAATCTTTTAGCAAAGAAATGTATTTGTCAAACTAGTCATTATAAGTACGTCTAGGGTTAAAATACCAAAATATTTTTTAGATAGAATTTATGGGGATAAAATTAGCAGGACATGTTAACTGAGAATTTAATGAATGGATTAAAATTAAAACATGTAAATTTGATATCTTGTATTTACATATAATTCCTCTTTTTTAATATAAAATCAATTAAGAACAACTTGGATGCACTGTTTTTGGTTTTGGAAGCTGTACAGAATGATATCCATATTTTAATATTGTCTGAATATAAGTGTAGACAAGTTTTACCTGTTGAACTGGAAAGCTTTAATTTGTTTTATAAAGGTAAAAAACAAAAGGGAAGAGGTTTGTAAGTGGTTTATAAAAATGATTTAAGTGTGTGTAAATACTGAAGACAAAATTCATAGTACTTGTTTACCTGAAATTAGGTTATGTTTTTAAATTTTCATATTATAGCAATTTACAGATTTCCATGTTTGTTATTAACTCATTTATTAGTGATTTGAAAAGTGGTTATAGATAACTTCATTAAAATATTTAATGTTTAAGGGTGAGACTAACATTAATATGAGGCATACAGGAAGAAAGATGTATAAATGATTATGTAAATGTACTGGCACATGTACAAGGGAAGAATTAAGAGGTAATATATAACATAATTTTGTATTAACTATATAAATGCTTAGTTAGATATTATTAACATTTTTATAGTAGTGTATAGGGAACTTATCACTATTTTATTACATCTATTACAGATTTTCACATAGAAGATTCTGCTACGCAGTTTGTTCATAAATGTATAATAAATCCAGAAATATATAAACAGAAATACAATTATAAGAGAATTAAAATGAAATTGAATAAAATAGATTTGATTGACTGCTTAAAAGATGTGCACAATGCATTAGAGACTTATGGAAAGATAGAAAATACTTGTAGTGAAATAAGGGAGAGAAAAATATACCCAGAAAAATATAAGAAATGAAAAAAGATATTGAAAGAGAGCTGGGTGATTAACATAAAAAAAATTAATTGATTGTTACTGTTTTATATTATTACAACTATCCAAGCTCAAATGTATTCAGATTCAAGCCAGCATGACTTAGTGATTAAAGAAGTTGTCTTATGAGTTGATGGTCTCAGGTTTGATTTTTATTACCACCATATATGGTAATTCTTCCAACCATGGGAACATTATATTTGTTTTTGAATTGTTGACAGTGGAGGTGCCAGGACCAAAAATTTGGGAAAGGATCAAAACAAGACATCTTATACTCGCATGTAATTTTAAAGGGATTCGTTATTCCCCAAAAATTTTAGTGTTCTAAATTACATTAAGCCAACATTGGGTTTCAGAAAGTATTTTGCATTGAGTTTTGAAGCCCCAAAGTACTCACAGACTTTAGAAAGGATCAGAAGGTTTTTGACCATTCTAGCATGTATCTATCTTTTTTTGGGGGGGGGGGCGTAACAAGTGCTTTTAAAAGTGGATTTATGAATAATGTTCTTTTGAGCATTATTTAATTAGATAAATAATTATTTAGTGCAGTAGTGCCATTTAGTGTAAAAAAGTAGGGTTAAAGGGAATACCTATTATTGTAGGATATATCTGATTGACTTCTAACATAAAAGAAAGAAAAAACATTCTGTAAAATGGTAGTGCATGTGCAAGTGTGTTTTCTTGATATACAACATTACATTTGCTTTATGTATGTAGGATTAAACTGGAGGGGGGCTAGAATAAAAGTTTGTAGGAAAATGTGTTCTCATGCAATTGTGAAATGCATGGGGGACTGTACTTACTACAAGATACAAATCTAATTAATGTTATTGAAAGTAAGATTGTTTAATGAAGGAGAAGTTACAGCAAGTTAATATCCATTAGTCTTTATTGGCTCGAAAAAAAATCTGGTTGATGAATAACATTCTTATTTGACAGTTTGTCAAAAATTAATAGACCTGGACTTTTAACAGCCTAACAGTACATAACATCATTAAGTTGTTAACCTACTTACATTAACAGAACTTCTGTTTAATTATGTTTAACTCCAACTAGACAAAAAAAAACTGAAAAGGAAAAACAAGTTTGGCTAAATACTTTTTGTTGTGTGATTTATCAATTTTTCAGCATGCACGTGTATTTTTATAGTTTCTTTAGGCCTTTATTATAAAATGTAAACATATTAATAATTTTAGTATGTTCTTTCTAAACTTTTGTCAGTATCAACAACCTCCAGTTTGAAACCTGATGATGATTTTTTAAACTTATGTAAATGTTAATTAATTATTTAAGGTTTTCATGCTGATAATCTAAATATAAAAAATTTTGAAATGTTGGTAATTAAAGATTTTGATACTGCCATGTTTTTTGTATTTCTTACAATATTTTGATTTCCACCTTATGAATCATTTTATTTTCTACAAATAGGTAATCTAATATCACAAGTTTTCATGCCAAAATAGTAAACATTATACTGTCTTTGTTTCTATAGAATCAGAGTGAATTTGTTTTCACTAAATTATATGTATTATTGGTCACAAATCATGACAAAGATCATTACTAGATTCATCACATGAAACCTTAGGAAAACTATATTTATGTATGAATTAGTTTATTTTAGTAATAGTGTATTAAAGCCAGATATCTCGGAAACCCTTGGAATGATGTTCATGTTTTCAACTTGTTAAAGGTTTGGTTCTACATGGTATTGCATATGTGGTATATTTTCACGTATGAAAGTTTAAGACTAAAAAAGTACCTTAATCGTAATTGTTGTACCTGAAGATGTCTACCATATTAAACAAAAGGTAGTTCCCAAATAAGCTTTCAAAAACCCAGAAAAAGCTGAGAATGGGGAAAATTAATCTCATAGTAATAATAATGGATTTATTGAAAGTAATCGATTAATGAGTCCTATGATTAATTTATTAGTACAATCAACCAACTCCGGTGTATAATAAATGAAAAATTAAATGATTATAAGTTGATAAAAGTTGAGGGACCTCAGGGATATATTTTGGTCTCAGTATTGTTTATACTATGCATTAATGATAGTATTGACTTAGGGTTAGACTGTTCATTTTATTTCTCTGAAGATAACTGTGCAATCACGTTCAGTGACTTCAAGATCAGTAATGTTATATCTAAATTACATGTTTGTGATAATGTAAGATGAGCTGCATTTTCAATGTGCAAACTTCATTGGAGTTACCACTGAAAATGTTTAATATTGTTTATCAGACAGTTTGTGAATCTGTAATTTGTTGTGGAATTACAATAAATGGACACCAAGTTTTTGTTAAATGAATCAATATTCCTACCAGCTGTGATTTCTGCTTTAAAATTTTTACGTTAATTTTTTTGTCACACTTATTTTACTGAATGTTTTTCTCATTACTAGGCTTCATGTCAGGCATATTTACTTAAAGGAACATGTTTTAGTATTCATTTAGAAGAGATAAAATCAGGTCTTGAGTATGTGCACAATATGTACATTTAAAATGTTTGGTTCTTTGACACAGTTTAAAATTAATTTTTTCTTTCATTCATTATCCATTATCTGAATGAAATTTTTCATAGATATATCCAGTCTGTAATACCTGGGAAATTAGATATCTAGTATGCCACTTGAATTAGCTAGGTATTGAGTAAATGTAGGAAGGATTTGTTTTTTTTTTCATTTAAGTAGATGTACAGTTTTTTTTTGGGGGGGGGGGGGGCTAAAGGTGTGTTCATTTAACTTTTATTTACTAAATTAATGTATAGAAACAGCAACAAAGCCTCACAGCAAAAGTTTTAACATAATATTTGAATAAAGTTCAGGTTAAACTCAGAATTCTTGTTTAACTATTACCCTGTTTATCCTTAACTTTGCGCTGTATTTTATTACAGTTTCCTCAGAAATTGACTTCTGAACTCCTGACTGTTCATTACAAATGAATAATGAATAATTAAATTCTAGGTGTAGAATGTTGATTCTCTTGCTATGATAAGAAAAAGGATCCTGTATGTGTTATTATGTGATAACATTTCATTATTATTTTTCTTTTTTTCATATTTGTTACTATATTTCAGAGTTTGTTTCTATTCTCTAGTTTAAAGAAATTTCATATGCATATGAAGTCTTGTCAGACCAGAAAAAGAGAGAGATCTATGATCGCCATGGCATAAAAGGTCTTCAAGAAGGAGGAACGGATGGTACGTGAGTCTCAGTTTTTTTTATGTTTTGTTTTTTAATCAAATTTTTTTCATTAATTAGATGTTTATATTCGAAAACCCTATATGCATATCAACTGTATCATAAGATTTTATTATTTGTTGTAATTGTACATATACTGAGAACTTATGGATATTGATATTCTCTATCAAGGTGGTTTTGCAAGTGAAGATATCTTCTCACACTTGTTTGGAGGAGGTTTGTTTGGTGGTATGGGCCGTGGATCTGGTCGGAGGAAGATAAGTGAAGATACAGTACACCCACTCAAGTATGTGTTAGATATATTCTACAGTACAAGACCCAGTCTAGCTTTTCTGTCCATTGTGTTTTGTCACATTTTTCCATAATTTTTTTTACACTTTTAAAATTGTGTGTGATAGTCCTAAGAAGTAGAATATTGTGAGTGACATAAGCATCTAAAATAACTGTCCTTTCTTGTCTCTTTAAAAAATTGAAATTCCAAATTTAATCTGAATTTGATGTTATGAAGTATGTGAATAAACCCCAAAAAATTGTATAATTATAATACTTATTATAGTACTCAAGTCAAATTTACAAGATGAGTGAGACAACTTCCTGGATTGTTTGTTAAGTAAGCTGATGCTTTCATCTTTCAAGAATTCATATATATATATAAATTAATAAATCCCCTGGATCAGACACTTTTTATCCTAAAGTTTTAAAGGAGCTGAAAGATTTTATTTGTGAACTGATAGCTATTATTTTTTATAGGTCATTGAGTAGCGGAAGAGTATTGGAAGTTGGCTAATGTTAGTCCGATATTTAAATGAGGTGATAAACATTGTCCAGAGAATTATAGACCAGTTAGTCTTACATCTTTAGTTGGAAAGGTTTTGGAGAGGGTGATTAAAGATGCATTGCAGAGTCACTTAAAGCAGTTTGATATAGTTTCACTAAAGAAAAGTCTTGTTTAACAAATCTTCCGACATTCTTTCAGGATGTTACTGCAAGAGTTGATGAAGGAAATACTGTGGATTTAGTTTACCTTGATTTTCAGAAAGCATTTGATAATGTGCCTCACAAAAGACTTTTTTACAAAAATTAAATATGTGTGTATGGAGGGGGGGGATAAATTGGATAGAAAATTGGCTGGAGAGTAGAAAGCAGAGAGTAGTAATAAGTGGAGTTAGATCTGACTATATTATTGTTACAAGAGGTGTGCCTCAGAGCTCTGTGCTTAGTCCTCTGGTGTTTGTGATTTATATTAATGATATTGACTCTGGAATAACTAAAAATTTTAAAGATTGCAGATGACATTAAGATTTTTAGGGTGGCTAACTGTATTAGAAATGCTGCAGACTTGTTGGTAGAATTAGATTATTGATGCATTGGGCCAATACATAGCAGATGATGTATAACTATCTAAAATATAAGGTGATGCATGTAGATTTTCACAGATTTTTTGTTTTGGTTGAAAAAAAAAATTAAGGGTGTCATTAAAGGAGAAATTTTAAATGTTGACATGTCTATTCTTATTCTAAACAACTGTATAATAGACCAAAATTTGGATATAGGCTCTATTCAACAATATCATGATTTCTCATTACACTGCTTAACAAGATTTTTCAAGAAGGTCCCTTCTTGTTACTAAAACATCTTTTGTATTACTTCAAAGAGTGACAAAGTTTTGTCATAAAAACATAAATTACAATGTTTTTTTTTTTTTCTAACCATTTTGTATATTTAAGATCAGCAAGCACTCTACTATGACTTGACAAAACTTTTAACTATCAATTTTTCAACTTCAGTCATGTGAGAATTTGTGTCATTATCGCATGTTCGACACAAAATTTGAAGCTTTAACTGAAATTGAAATTAGACGTATAAATTTCTTTATTTGTATTTTTTAAGGAAAAGGTTTTTTTAAATATATATTTTATATAGAACAATTTTTGTTTCAGGGTTTCTCTTGAAAACCTGTACAATGGAAAAACTGCTAAACTTCAGTTAAACAGGAATGTCATCTGCAAGACCTGTGATGGGTATGTTAAACGTGCTTGGATGTGTGTGAAAATGTTTATCTGAAAAATTATCTTTCTTTCTTTCTTGTACCAGTTCAGAATAGACTAACTTATAATGGTTAGAGACGGATTGAATGGGTAATGAAGACAAACTTTAATATAAGTTTAACATAACAGCAAATGATGACAAAACCTTGTCGAAATGTTGTACATTAAACTTATATTAAAGTTTTTTTTTATTTCCCATTCAAGCCGTCTCCAACTATTATTAGTCTCAAAGTGGGTTCCTCGTCATCGAATTTAAAGACTAACTTATAGTTTTCATTCTTATAATTTAATTATGTGCCTAGACACTAAGATTATGTGGGGTGGCTCCAACTTTGGAACAACTTGGAAAAGTCAGAGATTTTCCAAAAGCAGTAAAAGGTCCAATAAAATTATAGTTCTATTTTTTCTTTCAGAACTTGCACATACACACAAATCATGTAGTCTCACTAAGTTAGTTATTGGTATATTGTAATACAGTTGTAGTCTGTTGCTATAATTCTTTCTAGTGATAATTAAGTAATTCATTATATTTATTGATAGGTTAGGCCAAATATTATTTTATCATATATTTTTATAATGTTATTTTCTACCATCAAGTTGCAATGTCTTTGTTTGAAGATTTTTTTCTCAATGGCTGAGTCATAGATTTGGTGTGATGATGTAAATCAAATATGATTTATGCAGATCAGATTGAAATATGAATTTTTGCTGCTTCTCTGATTTGAAGAGCATCTCAAAAGTCAAGATTTATTGAAGGCTATGGTTGATCACTCTGAGAAATGAATTTAAAAGCACTATAGAGTAACCTAGGTTATGATTCTTCAAAACTAAGTAGTACTGGGTGAACTAATTGATCAATATAATCAATTACCTATGAACAGCAATAACATCAATTAGTGTCATGTAAACTCATAAATTAATTGAAATTACAGTTAAATTGATTGTCACAAAAGTAATAAACTAATTAAAATTATTGTTTCTAGATATCACTGTTTTTTTTAATTATTTCAACAATAGATTAAGCAAAATTACAATTAAATTGATGGTCATGAAAATAATAAATAAATTGAAATTAGTTTTTGATTTCTACTGTTTTTGTTTATTCCAAATATAAACAGTTAGAAGAGTACATGATTATAGTATTCCAGTGTATGATAATCGTATTCCAGTGTATAATAATCGTATTTCATCCACACTGTATTTTACATATCTATTGCTGATGATGTATTTCGCCTAACTCAGAGATCTTCAGGCTAGCTGGGATACAGTAAACACAGTAGTAGTCAGAATGTATATTGAGGAACCTAGTAAAACTTCCACCATGATTAAAGATCTTTATCTAGTCTTGGTGGTATGAGACTCTCTGTATGTTATCTGAAAAATAAAATTTCTACAAGTTTTGTTTTTTGTATCACTCATTATTGAGGAAATTTCTTATTTTTTAATAATGTTTTTTTTTCTTTTTTCTAGACACCTTATAGTCACTACTTTTAGAATTACATTGCCTTTATTTGAACTGCTAGAATGTTTCTATAGTTCAGTGAGATTTTTGGAATTACTAAGGAATGAAATATTTAATATCCTGTTATTTTAAACAGCTGTGTAATTTACAACAGCTTACTTTTTGTGCCATACTCGAAATTAAAGTATTTCTGTGTAATTATACATATATATATTATAGTTTAAATGAAATTATAGCAAACAATTAAATAAATCATGAACAAATAAACTTGCTTTTATTTTAATATTATTATTGGGTTGCTGAGATTTTTTTTTTTTATGCACAGATATGGTGGTAAGCCTGGTGCCTTACAGTCTTGTCAGACTTGTAATGGTCGAGGAATAAAAGTCACTTTCAGGCAGTTGGGCCCTGGTATGATGCAACAGACACAGACTTCTTGTCCAGACTGTGGTGGTGAAGGTAAATATATGAAGTATAACCCCCCCCCCCCTCAAACCATGGCTAAAAGTTGAGGTTCAATATCTGTGGTAGGCACAGCACAAGTAGCTTATTGTTAGGCTCTGTACTTAAACTTAACTAACAAAATGAAGTACAAATTTCAAAATTACTTGGAGGTATTTGTGTATGTAAAGACTTGCTAGCTGTGGGTTTATGACTGTTGATGCTTGGAAATACTGCAAAAAAAAATAAAAGACTCCTCACAAAGGAAAAAATTAGTTACAAAAAATACATTCAGGTAAATGAAATATTCCAGGCTGAGTCCTTCTGAAACTGAAAAGTGGAGAGGTTATGCTGAAATTTTGTTCAATTTGTCATTACATCCAAAAACTTGGTCAGATTGGAACTTAAAATACCAGGATGGCAGTGTTACAGTATGAACACTTTGCTCCTTTTTAATTTTATCAAGTCCATGATTGGAATGTTTGTTTTTATAAGTTCCCTTAAAGGGTAAACAGTCAGCACTCAAACAACTTGCACATATATGTATTGCTTGTGTAGAAACAATCTGTTATATGTAGAAAATAATATTTAAAACAGACGAAATTATTTTAAATTCAGATGTACTCAAGTAAAAACCTTAATATTTACACTAAATTTATCTTCAAATATTAAAATAAGGTTTGATTACTGATGTTCAATCCTACTGGCATGGAAAAGAAATTTCTTAACAGTTAGATTTAAATATCATTACTTTTGGGTACAATTGTTTGGTCAGTCAACTAGTATTTTGAAATGAAATATTGCATGAAGTTAGCAATAAATGAGGTTGTTAATTGGTGTATCTAAGAAGAACCATGTAAATATCTTTTATATACAGACGTATATAGTAGGACGTGTGACATCATGTAAACCCAAAGTCCCAGTTGAGTTGAATCTGGTGACCAGCTAATCTCAACTCAAGCCGTTAGTCTCCTGGAAGGGAGAATTCGTTTGTAGAGAGAAAAAAACAACAAAAAAATTATGATTAGTTTTCATTATGTATGAAACTTTTGACTGATGAAGAAAAATAAAATACATAGGAAGATGAGAGCTAGAGAAA